ATGGCAGTAAGAGGAGCACTGAGTGCCAGAGGACTGCCAGGGAGGCAGGAGCACATCAAGTTGGTACACCCAAAAGCATCCCAGCCAGGGCATGAGCCCAGCTCATCCAACCAGCCCTTGGCCAAGTCAAACCAATATTCTAGACTGGAAGCTTCTAGAATTTGTGTGTTTCAGAAGCTTTTATGTGCTTATTACACATACTTTTGATTCAGGAATGATGATAAGGATTCCAAGGCCCCAACTATTAAAGAGAATTTTTGTTTTTTTTTTAAACAGTCTGATTTTTAAATTTGTTACATAACACAGGCACACAGACACACACACACACACAGACACACACACAAGATTTTCTTTGGGGAGGATGGGTTGTAGACGGGTGGTTTTACTGAAAGAGAAACTCTAGTGTGGAAACACCAGCCACTAATGCAAATTGGTAATGCGCACACATATTCCCACGTGTAAATACCTATACATATGTACAGGCTCCATAGTTTTGTGTTGGTGTTGTTTTCTAAGATGTCTGTTGTGGTATATTCTGGGACTCCCCTGCTTCACAAGGAGGGTTACATACATGCACATGTATCCATATGTATGCACACAATAGGCAGCAGTGTAGTAGGTAGAGAGCCAGCCATGAACTCAGAAAGATCTTGGTTCACATCCTACCTAAGATGTACTAGCTGTGTGACCCTGGACAAGTCACTTAACCAGTCCATGTCTCCGGCAAGTCTCAGAAACTGTGAGGTATAGAGCAGCGAGAGGGGGAGCGGTTTCCTTATGAGGACTTCCCTACAGCAATGAAAACACAGGTCCAGTCCAAGAATCTGTGTCCTGGGCTAAAATTCTCCGGTTCTCTAAAATGCTTTTGCCCGGGGTAGCTCATGGCAGCATTCACTGTTCTATTTGAAGGAGCTGCCCACCAGAGCAGGGTGAAGAAAAGAGGAAAGAGAGAAGTGAAGTAGCAATTATTAAGTGCCTATTATCTTACAGGCACTCTATTGGGCCCCTAACAAATACTATCTCATTTGATCCTGACAACAATCCTGTGAGGTAGGTGGCGTTATTCCCATTTCACATTTGAGGCACTTGGGCAGACAGAGGTAAAGTGACTTGCTTAGG